TAATGTTGCAATATTATAAAAAAAAAAAAAAAAAATTCTATGCACCTAACAACCGCTGTGCCAGCTCTTCGCAGGGAATGTCAAAGAATTCATACTGCAGTCGGCCAGAAGATAATTCTTTCTCCCATGGTGTCACAGGAGGATCTTCTAATTGACTTAATTCCAATTTCATCATCTGCAAATCCACGACTGCTCTCGGTTTTCCTTTGCTATTCGTGTTTGATTTCAATTCTTCCACTTCCCTTTTATTTCCTTGTATATAAATATTATAAATGAATATATTTATAAAAATAAGAGTTCTTAAAAAAAAAAGACTGTAACTGACTGATTAATCTTAGCTAACTTTCAATGTGAGTTTCTATCTTTGGCTCTTTCTGAGAATTCTTGGAACTTTTAAAGGATGCAGAAATTTGAGAATCTGTCGTGTTGTATACATTTTTAGTATCTCGATATTCCTGATTTAGTAAGGACTTGAGGTTCAATTTTGGTCTTCTGATCACCTAATGGAAAACAATAACATTGAAGAAAAAATATAAACTAGCATTAGATAAAAAACACTCATAATTTAAAAAAAGCTGTATTGAAAAAACATATACATACATAAATAAACTGCAATTTGTAAACTATTTATATAGTCTTTGATTCAAAAGAGAGTAACTTATTGTTATCGTTAAAAATAAAATAAAATAAATTAAATTAATTAATTACTTAATATATTGTTCCAATACCATATTTAATTTATTTTATTTTAAACAATAAAAATTATTTACAGGTTCTAATGAAATAAAAATAAAAAAGTCTTTGAGAGACAGATGTTGTTGCGATTATAATTTATTTTAATCGAATTATTTTTAAAAAAATGTTTTATTTTCTCAGATACATTAGTAATAAATGAGATATGGTAGAAAAATATCATCGTCTTTATTGATCTTTGATCTGAATTTTAGATTCATATAAAATAGAGACACCACTATTTATCTGTGCAAACTTTTTATGAAGTCTCTTTCTGATAGCGAAAAAAAATTAATGCTGACGGATATCCATTTTTCAAAATAATCTTAATGACTTCGTAAAAATTTTTTGAATGAAATCTTGGATGGATTAAAAGAAGAATTCTATCAATTAAACTTATTATAATTCCTATGTGAGGATAAAAATACCTAGGAAATTGATAAGTATGTTTTAATAATAAAATTTAAGTAATTGACAATTACAAGTAAAAATAAAACTATTAAAGTTAAAGTCTATGTAATTGTAAATTAAACAATTAAAGCTGAATATCTGAATTGGCCATTCATTTGTTATGTAAAATATATTTTATAATAATTGTGTAATTTAATATTTTTGACAGTTTTGCTGATAAGAACTCAAAGAATTCGCTTAACCATGTATTTATAATGTACGAAATCGTTAACAATAATATGAAGAACAAAGGAGAAAATATGTGAAATAGAAAAGGAGAAAAGATTAGTGAAGATAAGAACATTAGGAAGGGGATAATGTATCAGATACATATCGGAATAAAATAAGATATGTATCTGATAATGATGCCATGTCGCTTTGTTTATTCAATCCCTGACTGTTTTTTTTTTTATGTAAATCATATCAGAAATTAATTGTTTATTATACGAAGGTTCTCTGCTTAAAATCGCTACTTTGTTCCATTTGAAATCATGCCTGTGATTAATGCGATGATCTGAAATAATCGACGGAAATGCTATTTTTTATTGATATCGGATAGGTGTTTGTTGACTCTGGTTTGAAATTGTTTGGTTTGTCCAATATACGTGGCCTCACAATCTTGGCACAAAATTTTATAGACTATCTTGATTTGACATTATATCAAATTGATCTTTTCCTCTTTTAATAAATCTCTTTAAGGTATTGGAGAAAATAGAAAAACAAGAAAATGTTGTTTTCGATTGATGTTTATTGCAATATCCTGGAAACTTTCTGAGATTGTTTTGACATACGGTAATGTGAAAAATCGATTGTTAATATTATTATATTCTCGCTTATTTTTACTTCGTAATTACTGAACATAGACTGGAATTCATACATGATTTTGACTGAGATAATATAAAAATTTTAGATAAAAAGTTTTTTAAATAAATTAATATCTGAAATGATTTTTATACATAAACAAAAAAATAGCTTAAACGTAGACATGCAATTTTTAGATCTCTTATACACTACTTTAATTTCTAAGATTGATACTTCCCTTTTTCTTTAGTAATATCGAATTTTGTTGTGCTGTTGCTTGATGCATGATCTTATTAGATCCATGATAAGCGTACTGTCAATATCGCATGATATGCTCATCTTTTAACTGCCATGTAAATTTTTGATTTAATTACCTTTAATTTAATTTTCAATCTTTACTTCATTGACTCATGTTTTTATTTGAAAATTTAATAGACAATATTGGACATATATATAGATGCGAATTGAATATTTTATTTAGATACATCTTATTCACAGTCACATAATGACGAAATAATTTTTGTAATCTTAAATTTAATGATTCAATTGTATATAATTGCTAATTAATTTTGTATATATTTTGTTTATGGTTTTAATATAACTGCTGAAGAGGATCCTAACTAAGAGGATCAAAACGTTTAATTAATTGTTATATACATTATTATAATTGCAACAACATGCAGCATTGGCTCTCAGAAGCTTTTTATTTAATTATTTAAAATTTTTTAAAATTAAAATTTTTTAAATAAAGTTGTTTATTTATTTTGTAATTGGATTGGTTCTTTCTCTACTATTTTTAAAAAGAATTTGTATAAGCTCAAAAATTGTAGAAAATGTAATGCTGAATTATTACATGTATCATAAAACTGTTTTCCAAAATCACATTAAAAAAAAATAAAAAAAATATCGTAATGTAAATGACAAGAGCTAATGAGAATTAGATGCTAGTAACATTGCATAAGTATAATAAAAAATATATATTTTATATATTATTTTGTCAAATATACGATATGAATTTCAATTTGTGAGTCATTCTTAGTATTAAAATAAAATAATTAAAGCTTCACTTCTTCTGTTGACATAATAAAAATAATAGAGAATTCCGGTATCAAGAATTAATTAATTTCCCAGTTACTATGACGGGAAGTTAACTAATTCTTGACACCGGAATTCTCTATTATGTGCAGCAGAAAATGTAAAGTTTTAATTTTTTTTTTTAAAGGCTGACTCAAATTGGAGCCAAAATGTTCATACATTTAACATTATAGTAGAAATGTTGTTATCTGTGTCCGACTCTCATTAGCCCTTGTCATTTTGTATTAGTGCTTTTTTAAATTTTGATAGTCTATCAATTTATTTAAAAAATAGCTAATATTTACGCCATATTTACGCCATATTTACATGCTATACCATTGCTATATTACACCATGTGCACCTATTTTTCGCTATACGTTAATAACTAATACACAAGTGTGATTTGTATTAGCTTTGTATCGCAGTATCTTATATTCAGGATTGGATAAATTAATGTTTTCTTTAAACTAAATTAAGTTAAAGTTAATGGCTTATAAAATTAAATTAAAAGTTGAAGGAATAAAGAATTAATTTAATAAAAGTTAAGTTAAATTTAAAAAAAATTAATTTTGAAAAAAATTATTTTTGAGATCAGAATGTCCTAATTTTTCTTAAAATGAGATTACTTTAAATAATACTTACAAATATAGATTATTAGGTATTTTATATTCACATGTAAGTTACTTATATATAAGAATCATATAAGACGGTTTTGTCAAAATCTTGCGAGAGAAAAGGATATAAATTTGTATTATTTCTCTTTCTTTAACTTCTAAAACGAGTGCTCATTGTATTTACATCGACTAAATATTTATTACAAAAAATAATTTAGAAAATGGGTGGATATGCAGTACTGTTCTATAACAATTCTTCATCTAAGGCTCATTTCATATTTATATTACTGAAATATAACGTTTATGATACCTAAAATTCAATCTGTGATTCAAATATAAGCGGGAATTGACAAAACCTAGCGAGTTAACAAAAACTGGCTACTGTTATTATAGTCTTTCATCATTAAACTTTTTCTAAATTAATTTTCTAATGTTTAAGACTTTATAGAAAAAAAATATTAGCATTAAGAGAGATAGAAAAATTTTTAATTTAAAAAAAGTTAATAAATTAAAGATTAAAAGTAACTAAATTAAGTTAAAAATTAACCAAGTTAAAAGTTATTAACTTTTTAACTTTTAACATTTTAACTAGTTACTATTCAACTCCTGCTTGTATTATACCTTAATGCAAATCAAAGTATAATTGATTTGCAGTAATTATAGTTGAAAAGGATCAATTAGAACTATCATTAATCAGTTGCAATAATTACTGCAAATCAACTATATATACATTGATCTGCACAAAGATGTAATATACAATTTTTAAATGTTAACACAACATTCTGTCTGTATCTAAGACTATTATCCATATTTTTTTCAAATTGGATTCTGGCTTGTTGAGCAATATATTGTTCATCTGGACACGAATGGAGATCTATAACTTTTAATTTTGTAATGAGGATAAGACTATTGTAAATAAGATACTGATGGCCTGTAAGTTATTGCCACTTATAGACTTCTATAAGTCTGTGGTTACTGATAATAATTTTATAAAAATCAAAATGTTTTCAAATATGATTTGTAATAGATAAATCAGAATTTGTTACACTAAGCATGATTATTTTATTATCCTTTATTGATACTTATTTGAAAGAATTAAAGTCGAATTTGACTAGTCTTAAGAAAATCGATAGTTTCAGTTGTAAGGTTGGCTATTGATTTCAATTTCACCAATTCACAAATAAGACCTAAGACTGTCAACTACTGATTGATTGTAGCATAGTTATGAACTTTCTATAATAAGTCATTATCTAAATTTTAAGTTTTAAGTGATCTTAATCTGTAAGAAATTGACAAATCACAGTTGATTATTTTTCTCATGCATGATTGATTGAATAATGTAATGACTTATTACAGAAAGCCCATTAATTTTCGTTTCCAACATCATATTTCAGAAAGAACTAAACTGGTATCAGACAATTGCGATACTTCTGCTGTAAGAGAAAATAAGAGAAAAGTGTTGATTCTTAAAGAAATATTTATTTTATTTATTTCTACTCTGTTAGAATAAACAAGCTGATAAACTTGTATGTATTTAGCGACTATGATAAACAGAAGATGGAAACAAACCGGCGTTTGGATTTAGTAATTACCGTATCTTCATTATCCTTATTTTTCTCTATTTTATTCTCCTGTTGAATCCTAGTAGCTGTTCTTGTCCGTTTCATCGAATTGCTTTCTGCCACGAATTCAATCGTTTCGCTTCCAATGGCTCGAGAAAGAATAATTTCTACGCGAGACAAGATAAAACGTCGAATTGTAAACACTGCCACATTACACAAAGTCATATTCAAGTAGACCATTTCTAACCTGTATGTACTCTCTGAACAAGTGTACAATAAGTTAAAATAAAACAAATGTTTATTTATTTCACTTCAACTTATTGCACCAGGTCAATACGATACTAATTTCATGATTTATTAGTTTCGTGGACATGAGGATCAATTTTGTATCTCGAAACGAGGTGAAAATTACAAAAGTGAGCAAATTTATTAGGTGTTGACCAATGAAATTATCAATATTCTAGTAAATTCACTCTTGTAATTTTCATCTCGTTTCAAGATACAGAATCGATCCTCAACTTCAGTTAGAATTCTGCAAAGTTACTAGGCCTGTTAATCGGAGCTTGGTGAAAATGGCCCTAAGCGTGCCGTGTAAATGTAGTCATATGTCTAGTTTGCATTGTGCACTTGATACTGTTCTCCTTCGATTTGATAAATTTTCGTTCTGCCATACTGAGCCATACTCTGACGCTGTTGGTATTTCTGTTGTGTCTATATCTAGTAAATTTTTTACAATATATAGTGGTGTTTAACAGAACACAACAGTTTTGCATCTGTTTTATAATTCTCTGCTGAGATTGGACCATTCCTCTTAATCCAAAAGCATAATCTATCAGCGCGAAGAAAACTTTCAACAGTTGTAAAATAAACGTTCTGCTGAACGCAGCCATTCCGAATTGCTTATTTTTAGCTTAATTTATTTTTTTCTCCTAGATATTAGTAGTTCCGTAACTAACCGAGAGGTGTTCCGAACCCGACGGCTGTTATAACTCGTAACTATAGAGTAATAAGAAGAAGATCAAACTCGAGGTCTAAAAGTGGGCTCGAAACATAGTGTAGGAAAACTCATGGAAAATCCGGCAGATTTTAGTTCCACCAGCGCCTTACGGGAAAAGTTAGAAATATTGACTGTCGTGTGGTCACAGGCCACACATATGCATGCATATATGTAGTAGTATGTATATAATGATACATACATGTGATCTGTGTTACGTGCAGTCAATATTTCCAACTTTTCCCGCAAGACGTGTTGGCACTAAAATCACATCTGCTGGATTTTCTATGGGTTTTCCTACACCGTGTCACGTTTTCCTACACAGTATAAGTACTTATAGTATGGACGCTGAGCTTTTCATGTGGTCTCCAATTTTTGTACAATTGAATCGATTTCTAACTAGAAATATAACTGCTTTCAGTAAGTTAAATTGTAAGTTAGATTAGATTAGCTGGATCTTCTTTCTATAAAATAATTAAGAGAAATTAAATTTTACTAAAATTTAAATCAAATTTTTTCGGAGACGTTATATTGTGTAGACTATTATATTATATTTGTACGATAAAGTATTCTCACAATAAAGTATGCATTTGTGTGTGTGTGTGTGCGTGCGTGCGTGCGTGCGTGCGTGCATGCGTGCGTGCGTGCGTGCGTGCATGCGTGCGTGCGTACATATATGTGGCATGAAAGGGACAGAGAAGAGTGAAGATTAATTGTTTGCAAAATGAAAAATAATATAATCTTACTGTTATATGCTGACAGAGATAAATTTAAAATGCACAATATTTTTTTTCGACCCTATAACCCAATTATTATATCACAAAATTTTGTAACATGCCAATCATTAATAAAGAAAGAACAATGTATGTCGTTCTTGTTTGATATTACACGTAAAAGAGCAACAGTAGTGTCTCATGTCATGTCTTAGCACTCACGAGACTATCGTGTCTCCAGATTTGAAATATTATCATTACGTATGTATATACAGAGTATTTCCTCTAATTTTAGCATCTGAAATATCTCCGTTATTTTTGTGTATAAGAAAATACCAAAAGAGAAAGTTATTTGATTCGAAGGAGTACATATTATGATAAGCAAAGAATTTTTCCCAGGATCATATTTTTTGAGACTTTAAGATCATCTCCACTTTTTTAAATAGAATTGTATGATTATTTTATATAATATGATTCCTCTAATTATTCTGCATATAAAAGTATTAAGGTAAATGAATTAGTGGAAAGAAAAACACATAGTTGATTATTTTAAAAATTATTTTGCATACATATTTTTTTAAAACAACTATATGTTTTCTTTCCATCAATTGTCTCTTTCACCAATTATCTCATTATTCTGTTCATAAAAGTATTAAGGTATGATTATAAAAAATTTAATAGTTTACAAGTTATTTAATAATTTATGTCAAAAATATATGCCAGAATATAATACCTTATTATATATTGACATAAATGTTAAATATCTCGTAAACTATTGGTTTTTTTATAACACTATCTTAATACTTTTATATATAAAATAATTAAAGAAATTATATTGTATAAAAGTCATATTGTACAATTCCATAACCTTCTAAGAATATGTTTTTGATTGATTTTTTATTTTAAGGGCTAGAACTTTTTTGCCAATATCATAAAGTAATATCATTGAGTGGCGAATTTCTAAAGAGTCCTCCGGTTTGAAAAAAAATGACATCCCTTATTTTTTATTTTTCTAACTAAATATCATTAGATGTTAAAATAATTATTTAATATTATTGTAGAGTAAAAATTTCACAAATAACATATGTAAAAATATTTTTTTAGTGCAGTAAAATATATACGCAATAAAATAAACTTTCTCACACAATGTCTCATGTACGGTACGATTGTCGAGAAACGTGCGCCGATGGTGCACGCTCTTTAATACATGTGCAGACATGTCAATTACATTTTTAGTTAAGAACTGCAAACACTATAAATCCCAAAATATTAACTTAAAAATGATTCAAAAATCCTAAAGAAGTCTCCGATTCTCCAAAGATAAAAAGTGGAGGCCCTTTTCATAGCATTAAAAATTACAGATTTCAAATGATCAAGTTAAAAAAAAAACACTGTGTATATCTACGCGCGCGCGCGCGCGCGCGCGCGTGTGTGTGTGTGTGTGTGTGTGCGTGTGTGTGCGTGTGTGTGCGTGTGTGTGTGTCTCAATAACAATTACCATCTGAAATAGCTTCTAATCAATAAGGTATAGAGAAAAATTTATATAATCAAAATTATACGATTATTTTACGGTAATTTTACACCAAAATTACACAGGTCCTGCGCACAATAGAAGAAATAAAGAATTAGAAATAAGGAATAAACGATTTCCTTAGAAACGAACCTATCAGAAACCGTGTATCCGATGTATCCGATTTCTAATAGATTAAAATCGTTTATTCTTTATTCCTAATTCCTTATTCTTTCTATTGGGCGAAGGACCTAAAAGGAACTATCATATGATGATAATAATTTTTGTCCAGATAGAGGCTTTTTTTTGCAGATTCCAAGGTTCTCTTTGGAGGATTCCAAAGATCCTCTTTTAGAGGATTCAAGGTCAATATCGTTTTTTTGAATGGAATTATATGAATTTTTTTACATAATATAATTCCTCCAATTATTCTGCATATAAAATATCGAGATAATGATACCAAAAAAATCAATAGTTTACGAGATTTTACACTTTATTCCGGTACATATTGACATAAAATATTAAATAACTCGTAAACTATTAATTTTTTATAATCGTACCTTAAGACTTTTATGAGCAGAATAATGAGATGAATCAATTGGTATAAAAAAAAACATAATTGCTTTAAAAAAATATGTGAGTAAAATGGATAATTTTTTAAATAAACATCAGGTGATTTACACCAATTGATTTATCTCATTATTATGTTGATAGAAGTATTAAGATATGATTATAAAAAAATTAATAGTTTATAAGTTAGTTAATATTTTATGTCAATATATTCCAGAATAAGGTATAAAACATCTCGTAAGTTTTTTATATCACTACCTTAATACTTTCATATGCAGAATAATTAAAGAAATCATATTATGTAAAAAAATTCATATAATTCTATTCAAAGAAACGAAGTTAACTTTGAAATCTTCGAAGCCTGGACAAAAAATTATCACCATGATAGCCCCCTTTTACACCGCGTAATTTTATTTATATAAATTTTTCTCTACACCTTATAGAAGATATTTCAAGTGATAATAATTATTGAGGCATACTGTATAAAGCGGTGTTCAAAATAAAACGTTACGAACTTTTTCGGAAATACGGCATTATTGAGAAAAATGTTCAAACAAAAGTTGTAGGATTCAAAAAGATCTATTTACTGAGCTTATTAATTTGGATGGTGTTGCCAAGGTTAAGATTACATTAATTTTTTTTAATGGAACACCTACTTTTCCAGAATCTAATAGCTAATGTCGAGAGATTTCCAAAACGCTTTAAGAAAATATTTTTTTATTAAGTTATGATGCTTGAAAATTATATTATCGCCAACATTAGCATTACCCAAGGTGTCCGATCGACTAAAATCTCTTGAATGTTGTTCAAGATCATGTCTTGAATATCATTTGTCAAAATCAAAACCATTAGGGAGTCATTGTATCTCTTATTTTCATTTTTACATAAAAATGAATTTTTAGTATAAAAATGAAAATAAGAATAATCTCCAATGACTTTGATTTTAAACAAATGTTATTCAGGACATGACTCTGAACCGAGAGAAACCTGAGAGGGGCCATGCCGGCCTTTTTCTTGTTACCATCGAAATCGCTCGTACATCTATCGCCAGTATATCCATTTTCAATTTGGTAACTATGTGACTACAGGATAGAAGCATACAGACAATCTTTCGAAAAATAATCACAAATAGGCTCAGATTTCTCTTTGTTCTAAACAACATTAAAGAGATTTTAGTCATCGAACACCTTGAATAATGCTAATCGGTTATACTGTAACTTAAGAATCATAACTTGAAAAGTACTCAATAAAAAATAATTTTATTATAGTGGAAAACTCTCGACATCGACTATTAGATTCTGGAATCAAAAGTAGTGTTCCATTTAAAAAAATCGACGTGATCTTGGCGATGCTCAAAGTCAAACTGAGATAAGATCAGTAAATAGATCTTTTTAAACCCTGCAAGTTTTGTTTGAAC